TCACATTTAATCTTAGGTCTATTATTAACCAATCTATGATAAATTTTATTATTTGTGACAAAAGCAACGTTCAAGTTATACTTATAGAGATTCTTTTTCATTTTCAACTCAATTAAAGGAGAGTAAGGTAAAGATATATAGTTATTTTTAATTTTCTAATGTGGATATATGAGGATAGTAATACATATTAGAATTATGAACTAAATTATATATGTGTTGAATATCATGAATATTGTAACCGTTATTGATGCCAATTTTAACTATGGTTTTGATTTCTTTAGAAATACATAGAGAATTTAATGGTATATTGTAAAGCCTATTAAATAGAAATATGAAGTTGGCGTGTTTATGTTGCCTACAACTGTATGAAGTATTAGGAATAACATTATCTGTAAAAGTTGGCTTTCTGAATATATTGAAGTCTAATGAACTTTTATTTAAATTTTTCTTTATGGTGAGGTCTAAGAAGTTAATACAGTTGTTTTTCTCTATTTCACTAGTGAACTTTAATTGGCTTAGATTGTTAATTATATTAAGCAGAGCTTTTAATTTTGCAGGATTACCTTTATAAATTATTAAAATATCATCGACATAACGGGCGTAAAAAATAATATCGCTTACAAAAAGTTTATATTTATCATTAAAAAATTCTTTTTCAATGTGATTGACGTATACAGGTAAATGTCGTTTTACGCCAGGGTTCCGTTCCGAGAGACACCGGCGTAAACAAAATCGGCGTAAAATGAACACAAATATAATGGACGATATAACATTAGGTTCCATGTCAAAATTCTAAGAACAATCTAACATGTTTATTTAATACATATCCTATTTACATAATATATTCAAAATAAATAACAATCTCTTGATATAAATTAAAGTATTTTTTGAAATAAATACTTACTAACTCACTAGTTCGTCGGTACTAAATTAAACTCTTTTTGAAAAAAGCATTCAATTTCATTTGATTTGATTGTTGCTTTCTTGCAGAATCATAGCATAATTTGCGCTTCGATTGTAATCCCCATCTATCTCAGATCTCACCTGTTAACCTTTCTATAGAGCAGTGGTGTCCAGTAATTTTTGATCAAGATCGACTTTTTATATAAATGTCTTGCCAAGATAGACCGAAGGGTTTAAGATCTTTTTTTACATTTTAAAACTAACCTTCCTTTTTTGGTTCTGAGGCCCAATTATAGATATTTCAGATTCATGATTTTGTTGGCGATCGACTCAAAATGGCTTCGCGATCGACTTTATGGACACCACTGCTATAGAGGATAGGAAACGAGTTAGATCGTTCGCTTTTAGGATTTTCCTATCATTTTCTTTCTCATCCTCCTCTTCTTCTTTGGGATTTTCTGATTGAGAGCGATCATATGCCTCCATCAACTCTTCTAATTCTTGATTTCAGAGTGGTTGGTCATGCACGTCTAACAGTTCGGTCACATCTTCAGTTACGTCTTCGAATCTACATACGCGTGTAAGCCTGATACTGTCTTCGTTTATGTTAATATTATTTATCAGTCTATCCTTGGCGGCTTTAAATCCAGGAGGGCTACGTTCTTCTCGCGAAATAAACGTTTTCGTTGGCAACTTCTTCCAATAGAGACATGTTTCATCAAAATTGAAGATGAGATTTGCAGGGTAGTTCCCTTGTTGCACAATTTCTTGAAACTTTTGAGGGTAGGCTGCTGCTGCTACTACATCAATGCCCGCTGCTTCTCCGCTTAGTTTAGTGCTACGGATATTGGTTCGAGAATTGAATCTCGTGAACAACCCAGTGCTTGCCAAGAAAGTTTCGCCAGTATTTTCTTCCGCCTTCAAATCAGAAAAAATCAATAGGCACCAACCGGCGTAATTGTGAATCGACTTAAATCGAACAGGCGCAAACCGACGTTTACTTGTACGTGAAAATATATAGGGTTGGATTGGGTTGGGTTACCGAAAGTGCTAGAAATCTGAAAATATTTTAGTCGAAGAGAACGCAATTGATTATACTTAAATCTGAATACTCAAATTTTTATTTTGGCCAGAACCCCAGAAACGTCTAGTGAACAGTCTCGCTGAGATACCCTGTATACGCTTAATTGAATGTTTTTCTTCACATTATTTAGCCATTCAAAAGTTGTCGCTCAATCTTTTTCTAGGTCTTTCGATGATCCTTTGTTATTTTCACAATTCGTTGTGCCTTTGTATTTTCCAGCTATTCTACTACTGTTGACTACTTCTAATCACATAAAGACCGTCTATACCAATCCCACTACCCTGATTTAATAAATGAAAAAAGAGGTATTAAACGTGGAGGACAACGAACACGAAATACTCTTTTCATATCTTCTAAGTAATATGGATACTAAAGATGTGGGTAACTACCAAGAAAATTTCAACTATGTTGGAAAACTAATTGGCTATTTCCCGGCATCTTGGAAAAAATCGGTACCCTTAAAGAGGTACCTCTCACCAACATTGTTTAATGTTTTCATACACGACATACCACGACAAAGGTACAATGAAAAAAACCTTATTTGCGGATAAAATGTTAATATGTGATAAATATGAAACAAAAAGTCAGCGCAATCTCCCAACATCGTTTTCCTGTGCCGACTGATCTATTCTTTATCTCGTTCAGTGAGATTTGCATTTTAGACAGATTGCGACACCTTACTGTGAGGATAAGCCGAAGTAGGTTTTGTCATTTTTTCAGTTACAAGTAAGTCCATATACGTAAAATCCTTCACTACTTTTGTTGATTCACCGTCAATGTTTATACACTGAGAGAAATACATTGTACGAATCGTATTATAGAAAAAATATTATACATGCAGCAATTCATTGTATTGTATTCACTATTCGTAGTAAACGTATTATACCTTATAGTATATTTTTAGTACATAGTACAATCCATTTTTCTCAGTGTATTTATACTTCCCCATTGAACCACGTTTCGGCGTGATATGCACATATATTTAGATTTAGGGAGGTATATGGTAAAACCCATACTTAATACAGCATTCTTCAGATTGATGATTACTTTTTGTACTTCTCGTCTCGTTCTGCTAATGATCATTATATCGTCCGCGTACGCCATAACTTGTACACATCTAGTACAGATAGTTCCTTTTAGGTTCAGCTGTAACTCTCGTATAACCTTCTCTAAGGCAAAGATTAAATAGGTTGACTAAGACAAGGCATGACCTTGTCTTAGTCCTCTACACGCAAGGTCTATAGAACATAAGGTTACCTAATTCCCTATGCCTCTGTAGTATCGATTATTACCCCGCAGCTTGACGTCACTGGTTCGATACAGTCAGAGTAAACGATAGCTTCTACGTGCGTATACTGTGGTACAGTCTATATAAAATATTTAAACCTCGCATCGTGTTGTGTTGTTCATAGAACCAGCCACGTCACTGACCCACCTTGCCCCTCAGAGAAGGAGAATCGCCATTGGGTAACCTTATGTTCTATAGACCTTGCTCTACATGTATTAAATGGGTTTAACAGTTCACCCCGGTCTCCAATCACACACTGATCCTCTGTTATTGTTAATTTTACCATTTCTACCAGGGAGCTTAGAATCTCAAATTCCAGCATTGCTGAGTATAGCTTTAGATCTATCTCATAGACGAAATGTGATGAATTGTAGGATTATTACTCCTGAATCTCGTCTGATAAGGTCCCATTATGTTTTTCACGTAGCGTATCAATAGTTTGTAAAGTATTACCGACAGCACAGTCGTATACACTTCTCTTCTTTTATACTGAGTAAATAATCTCAGTGCTTCATTCCTCTGGTATTGTGTGTTCCTGTCATACTTGTGTTAATAGACTACGGAAGTGTATTGTGAATGTCTCGCTGTTGAGTATAAAAAGACGGTAAACTAATCCTGACGATTTATTGTTTGCTAGATATTGAAAAGCTTCTCTCACTTCATCAACTAAAGGTGGTTGAGTACTTTGATTCGCATTCAGCTGTACTTGTTCTTGTTATTCATAATAAGAGTACAACAGTGTTCTGAAGTGGTCCGCTATCTTCTCAGTACTTCACTTTTCTTAGTAATTATGTGTATATCCTTGGAGGTACTTGGGCCTGTATAAACAACCTTCTGTGTTGTTCTGCTGACATTCCTGCAGATTTTAACAATTCTTCCATTATGCTATATCATTAGAAAATGGTGGTAGTTAAATATGAAATGATTTCTGATGCATTAGGTATATTTTTTATTCATAACATCTTTCTCCAGCAGTTTTAGTACATAAGTTATAGTTGATTTTATTAAAAAAAAATCAAATTTTAACATTTTAGGGATATATGCTCTATCACTAGAAACAGAGCAACAAAGAAACAGAGGAACAGTTGTAACAGGTATTTGGAACTGTTACTTTTTAGTAACAGGAACATATTGCACCTAAGCTCTTCAAGCAGCCTATCATTCTCTCTTCAATGTTAGCTCTAATTCTTCTCCTTATCATTTTTAGGTTGGTTCTGTTCTTTTCCAGCATCGCATTCTGGCATTCTTCGTCGAATCAATTATTTTGCTGTTCTCTTGGGTGTTCCACATACATCTCAACCAAATACTAAATTGAGGTATTCATATCAACAGCAGAATAAATTTGGGCTATGCTCGGCTAAAGCAATTGTAACCAATCATTAACAGGAGAAGTTCCTTGAAAATTAAATGTACCTTACTGGTTTGTATAGTGTGATAATCAGATCACTGGTGACTTATGCTTATGCTCGATTTGGTCTAATGCTTCTGTTTTTCGAAAAGCTGTTGACGCGCTCTGATATTTTCTAACTAATATTGAAGTGTACTTAAATATTGCGACAACAAACTAATAATAAAAACCAGTTATAGAAACAATCTTGAGTATTTAATAATAATTTATGAACCCATAATAAACATTAAATACAACATACTCGTTATGCAAATACCGGGAAGAGTTGCCGAGACAGAACAAAAATATAAAACATCTTGATTCTCGTTCACATGTTTCCAGCCCAAGGTGAGTTAGGTTAATGCAAAACAAATTAGTTTAAAGCAATGCGTGGTTTCGTTGAAACATTTTTCGGATTAACTCTCATTCTATTCGTTAAATCTCAAGGTACGTTTTAATTAATCTAATTTTTAAATAAAACATTTTTCACTAAAAATATTTAAGATTCTCAACGTTGTAATTTACGAGATGGATCCGTTGGAAAATGTCAACATATCTTAGAATGTAACTCGGCAAAGAATGAACTTGAACGGGGATTTCGACCTGTTTCGTGTGGATTTTCTGGTCTATATCCTATCGTTTGTTGTGATCAAAATAATGAGGAAACTGTTCAAGGACGAACTTTGAATGGAAAAAGCGAAGAAAGTAAAATAATAATTTTAAATATTAATTAATTTTATAATAATTTTATTCTTAAAGAATGTCAAGAATATTTAAAATTGGACATCAAAACTACGATAACAACCACGACCACAACACCAAGAAGTTTAACTCAAGGTTCTCCTTTTGTCGTTGGAGGTGTAAATGTTTATTTTGAAGAATACCGCCATATGGTGATTAAAAATTTTAATACTTATTTAAAAGTGCACATTTAAGGTGATTTTAGGCTATTTTGGGATATGGTCCATCAGAAAACATCGAATTTAAATGCGGTGGGAGCTTAATCAGCGATCAATTCATCTTAACAGCAGCTCATTGTTTAGAATCACGAGATTTGTAAGAAAACACAAATTTTTATTTAAACGTTTAATTTTTTAATTATTTTTAGTGGACCAGTTTCCCTAGTAAGATTAGGCGATTTAGACGTAGCTTCAACAACCGAATTTTCGGAACCTCAAAACTTTAAAGTTAAAGAAGTTTTCACTCCCCCCGAGTACGATTTCGAATCTTTTTACCACGACATAGCTTTAATTAAATTAGATCGTCCGGCTGTTTACACGAAATACGTAAAACCTGCTTGTTTACAATCAAAATTTGATTTAGATCATAACAATTTAACAATAACTGGATGGGGAGCTACAGATTACGGCAGTGGATTGCATAGTTTTCTTCAAACGGCTAATTTATACAATTTACCGACGAAAGATTGCGTGAGAAGTTATCGTCCACAATCTAGATTGGCGAATGGTTTCGATGAAGAGTTGCAATTATGCGGAGGAGATCCTAATTCGAGGGTAGATGCATGTCAAGGTGATTCTGGTGGACCAATTCAAATGCAAATTCAACGAATACCGCAAATGTATAGAATTGTTGGGGTTACATCGTTTGGAAATAATTGCGGATTAGTTCCTGGAGTTTATACAAGAGTTTCCAAATATATTTCTTGGATTGAATCAATAGTTTGGCCTAATTAAATAATGTGATTATTAATAATAAAATTTATTGTATGAAACCACGAAACTTGAAGTGGTATTTTTATAAGATAAATGTAACCGAACAAGTTTAACCCTTTCGTTACTAAGAGCGTACGCATACGTTTTTGTATATGTGGGCTTGCTATATGATCTTGAAAATACTCCGTAACGAAAGGGTTAAACATATAATTTTTTTGTTATGCAATGAGGATGAGTTCTTGTTTTGATTTATACTTTGCCTCAATTAAAGTTAAAATCCCAATAGAGCTAGAAAAAAATAATTAAATAACTTTTTAACTAATCAGGTTTAATGAACAATTTATTTTACAGTTTAAATGAAAGATAATGATCTACAATTTCATGCTCACTTGGTATATAATCATCGTTTGATATTCCTCGGTTAGTCTCACAACTACCAATCTGATCAAAAACGATGCATCCGTTTGGTAAATGTGGAAAATAAGTATAATAGATATTTACAAAGAGATAGTAGAGAATAGACACTTAACGAAGTGTACTCTTTTAATGGGAGAAATTCATTTGGAACTTTCAAACAACTCAAAAAAACTTGGAGGATGAAGTGGAAGATGACGCCTAGAACTAGAGTTTAAAGTCAGCTACAAGAAGGCACTATTAAGTGCTGAAACTTTTCTAAATTATAAAGAAGGTTTGTGCCCACATTCATTGCACGGTTTGGTTCTTTGCTTTGCGTTTGTACAGTATTGGTTTTTGTCCAAGAGTTGCATGGCTGTCTCATTGATGATGAAGAAGTCTTTGTTCATCTCTGTGTTTCTTATGTACCAAGGCGCATTTGCAGTATCCCTTAATACTTTAATCTGCAAGCCTTGTATAGCAGCAATATTACTTTCTTTAGTACAACTCCATAGTTGTAGGATATAGATCCAAACTGCAAATGAAAAAAGATTAGATTGAACAGCTGGTCAACACAAACTGGACATTACTCGATATTGCTTTCTATAACTCGACATCAACGGGGATTTTCCCAAAGTGAAACTATTCTCACCCTTATTATATTAAATTGGGAGGTGACGAGAAAGAATAAAACGAACCGGGTCATCGTCACGTTAAGTTGACGAGTTAGATTGATTACCACGGTTTTATTAGGATGCTTTAATTATTAGAGAAAGCAAAATTTATCTTTATTCGAAGAAATCCACCGCTGTGTATAACTTTTTCCACCATTTTTTCTATTAAATCGATTTTTATCTACAGAGTGACGTATTAAATGACATTCCGAGTGTTTCCGGCGTGCGTAGATGGCAATCAACTGTTTGGAATACTAAGGAATAATTTATTTCGCAAGCTTAATCATATAGACACTACATAGAAATAATGCTTTTTATTACTTTTACTATATTTAATATCTTTTATTAAAATCTAAAACTACAGTGAATTATACTTAACACTCAATATACAAAAGTATATTTCCATCGAAACCATAGAAATAAGTGCACATTTTTATTGCACTATAAGTAGAACTAACACTAGACCTAGAACTCGAAACATTTTTGCACTAGCACTTTCACCAGAACTAATACAAGACCTAGAACTAGAATCATTCGGGTTTAGCCGTCTTGAAAGACGTGCGGCTAAACCCGAATGTTTCTAGTTCTAGATCTAGTGTTAGTTCTAGTTTTGCACTAGCACTTTCACTAGAACTAACACTAGATCTAGAACTAGAATCATTCGGGTTTAGCCGTCTTGAGAGACGTGCGGCTAAATCCGAATGTTTCTAGTTCTCGCTCTAGTATTACACTAGCACTATCACTAGAACTAACACAAGATCTAGAACTGGAATCATTCGGGTTTAGCCGTTTTGAAAGACGTGCGGCTAAATCCGAATGTTTCTAGATCTAGCTCTAGTGTTAGTTTTAGTTTTGTACTAGCACTGTCACTAAAGCTAACAAAAGACCTAGAACTAGAATCATTCGGGTTTACCCGTCTTGGGAGTCGTACGGCTAAATCCGAATGTTTCTAGTTCTCGCTCTAGTATGCCCTAGCACTATCACTAGAACTAACACAAGATCTAGAACTAGAATCATTCGGGTTTAGCCGTCTTGAAAGACGTGCGGCTAAACCCGAATGTTTCTAGTTCTAGATCTAGAGTTAGTTCTAGTTTTGCACTAGCACTTTCACTAGAATTAACACAAGACCTAGAACTAGAATTATTCGGGTTTAGCCGTCTTGAGAGACGTGCGGCTAAATCCGAATGTTTCTAGTTCTCGCTCTAGTATTGCACTAGCACTATCACTAGAACTAACACAAGATCTAGAACTAGAATCATTCGGGTTTAGCCGTCTTGAAAGACGTGCGGCTAAATCCGAATGTTTCCAGTTCTCGCTCTAGTATTGCACTAGCACTGTCACTAAAGCTAACAAAAGACCTAGAATTAGAATCATTCGGGAATGTTTCTAGTTCTAAGTCTAGTGTTAGTTCTAGTTTTAATTGTCATTCAGCGTTAGATTGTGGTATATTTTTATTGAACGAAAAGTAGAATATTCATAAACTAAATAATATTAAATTGTTCCAAATAGTTTAAATTCTAGATTAAATCGATTTAGATAACTAGTTTTACAAAAGAAAAAAGCATGCAAATATCTGACCACAACCGACGTAATAAGATGTTTAATGAAATCAGCATAGATGGAGTTTGTACAATAGCTTTGATAGACACAGGTAGCGTGGTTAACTTTACACAGAAGTGATGATTATTGCAGGGTTTGTCTATAACTACATATTTTCCTCTAGCTAAAGGCTTTACCTAAATATATGCTTTGTTAATAATGAAGACTCGTGGAAATTCAGTTTCAAATTCAAATCTATGATACCACATAGATTTTTTGAAATGACAAAACGATCTTACATCATCGAGTTATCACACAGTACATCGTGTCACCCGGAAAAGCTGTGAAATGGTTTAGAATTTGAAGAAGTACCAAAAAAGAAGATGGCTGCGTCACCGAAACGTCTCCAAACATTCTTGAATTTTGGAAGGAATGTATAAGGAGTGAGTACAACACTACAAGTTACTGCATGGAGATGTAGAGTTAATTTAGCGGGAAGAAATTAAAAGTTTTCCTCAGGTACATTGTTAATTAGAGTACTAATTACATGTTGAAATTGACAAAATTGGGACGTAAACCTGTTCTTAGATAACTTTTGGTGGAATTGAGATATATTGATGATTTATATCTCAAAAGATTGCCCAATTAATACAAATGTAATATAAATGTAATCTTATTTTCAAGAGAGCATAATATTTGTTAATTTAAGATTTCACCTTTTATAATTTTTGAATGAATCAAGATGTTTTGATGACTGATATCTTAAAAGAACAGTCCAGATAACGAGAATTTCGCCTATCTAGAATTTTTAGGATTAAGGTACAGATCAAGTACATTGTTGTACTTGACAAAATCGATACGTAAACCTGTTTTTAGATAAGATTTAGGTAAATTGAGATATATTGATGATTTATATCTCAAAAGATTGCCCAATTAATACAAATTCCACTTCATTATGATACATGATACACTCAAAAGATGGCCTAGTTATTACAAATTTCATTTCGATATGCTACGTTTCAATCAGATGTAGAAAAATATTCTAATCTTATTTTCAAGATAACATATAATTATTAACTTAATATTTCAGCTATTGTTTGATAACTTTTGAATGAAATAAGATACTTTTAATGACTCGTATCTTAAAAGAAAGCCAAAGTAATGAAAATTTCGCCTTAATATAGTAAACTTCGTTTCAAAATCTAAACTTTTTAAGATAAGTATACTAATTACCTGTTGAAATTGACAAAATCGATACGTAAACCTGTTCTTAGATAACTTTTAGGTGAATTACGGTATATTGATGATTTATATCTTAAAAGATAGCATAATTAATACAAATTCAATTTTGATATGATACGTTTCAATGAAGTATCTTGAAATGTTGTAATCTTATTTTCAAGACAGTATATAACTGTTAAATTAAGATATCAGCTACTCTTTGAAAACTTTTGAATAAATCAAGATATTTTCATGATTGATATCTTAATAGAAAGCCCAGCTAATGAGAATTTCGCCTTAATATAGTAAACTTTGTTTCAGCATCTAGAATTTTTAAGATTAGAGTACTAATTACACTATGAAATAGATAAAATCGAGACGTAAACCATTTCTTAGATAACTTTTAGGTGACTTAAGATATAATGATGACTTATACTTCAAAAGAAAGCCCAATTAATACAAATTCCATTTCTATATACTACGTTTCAATCAGGTGTCCAAAAATGTTGTAATCTTATTTTCAAGATACCATATAATTGTTATATTAAGATTTTAGATATTGTTTGATAACTTTTGAATGAAACAAGATATTTTGATGACTGATATCTTAAAAGAAAGCCCACCTAATTAGAATGTCGCGTAATATAGTAAACTTCGTTTCAACATCTAAACTTTTCATGATTAAAATACTAATTACATGTTGAAATTGACAAAATTGATACGTAAACCTGTTCTTAGATAACTTTTAGATGAATTGAGATATATTGATGATTTATATCTCAAAAGATTGCCCAATTAATACAAATTCCACTTCATTATGATACATTTCATAAAGGTGTCCAGAAATTTTGCAATCTTAGTTTCAAGACAGCATATAACTGTTAAATTAAGATTTCAGCTATTCTTTGATAACTTTTGAATAAACCAAGGTATGTTCATAATTGATATCTTAAAAGAAAGCCCAGCTAATGAGAATTTAGCCTTAATATAGTAAACTTCGTTCCAACATCTAGACTTTTTAAGTTAGGGTACTAATTACATGTTGAAATTAATAAAATTGATACGTAAATCTGTTCTTAGATAACTTTTAGGTGAATTGAGATATATTGATGATTTATACTTCAAAAGAAAGCCCAATTAATACAAATTTCATTTCTATATACTACGTTTCAATCAGGTGTCCAAAAATGTAATCTTATTTTCAAGATAGCATATAATTGTTATATTAAGATTTCAGATATTGTTTGATAACTTTTGAATAAAACAAGATATTTTGATAACTCGTATCTTAAAAAAAGCCCACCTAATGAGAATTTCGCGTTAATATAGTAAACTTCGCTTCAACATCTAAACTTTTTATGATTAGGATACTAATTACATGTTGAAATTGACAAAATTGATACGTAAACCTGTTCTTAGATAACTTTTAGGTGAATTGAGATATATTGATGATTTATATCTCAAAAGATTGCCCAATTAATACAAATTCCACTTCATTATGATACATTTCAAGAAAGTGTTCAGAAATGTTGTAATCTTATTTTCAAGACAGCATATAATTGTTAAATTAAGATTTCAGCTATTCTTTGATAACTTTTGAATAAATCAAGGTATGTTCATGATTGATATCTTAATAGAAAGCCCAGCTAATGAGAATTTAGCCTTAATATAGTAAATTTCGTTCCAACATCTAGACTTTTTAAGTTAGGGTACTAATTACATCTTGAAATTGACAAAATCGATACATAAACATGTTCTTAGATAACTTTTAGGTAAATTGAGATATGTTGATATATCTCAAAAGATAGCATAATTAATATAAATTCATTTTTGATATGATACGTTTCAATGAAGTATCTTGTAATTTTGTAATCTTATTTTCAAGACAGCATATAATTGTTAAATTAAGATTTCAGCTATTCTTTGATAACTTTTGAATAAATCAAGATATTTTCATGATTGATATCTTAATAGAAAGCCCAGCTAATGAGCATTTCGCCTTTGTATAGTAAACTTCGTTTCATCATCTAGAATTTTTTAAGATTACGGTACTAATTTCATTATGAAATGGACAAAATCGAGACGTAAACCTGTTCGTGGATAACTTTTTGGTAAATTGAGATATATTAATGATTTATATCTCAAAAGAGAGTCCTATTAATACAAATTTGATTTCGATATGCCAGGTTTCAAGCAGGTGTCGAAGAATGTTGTAACCTTATTTTCAAGATAGCATATAATAGTTAAATAAAGATTTCACCTCTTCTTAGATAACTTTTGTACAAATTGAGATATATTGATGATTTATATCTCAAAAGAAAGCTCAATTAATACAAATTCAATTTTGATAAGATACGTTTCAATGAGGTGTCTAGAAACTTTTGTAATCTTTTTTTCAAAGCATCATACAATTGTTGAGGTAAATACGAGTGCTTGTCAAGACTAAATCCATCCCTAATTATACAGCATACATTTTTTAGATATGATGAAAACAATTTCGAGTTTTTCAAGTACTCTGAATTTGACTAGGTACCTGGAGACTTGCAGATGTAGCCTTTCGACTGTGTTTAATTCGAAGAAAATAAATGATGGAATTTTCATTAAAGCTCAATAATTCAAAACACCGTTTTATTTAAACGCCTTTGTTGTTTAATTGCGGGAAGGTATAAATCAAGACAAGAAGCCCCATTAGCATATTATTATTAAATGCTTGTTCGGTCACATGTAATCTTGAAAACCTTGAACACACAGGTTATTCACATTTAAAGTTCTAAAAATATCAATTACAGTTTCGAGGTCAGACTTATTTATTTAATTTGGCCAAACTATCGATTCAATCCAAGAAATATAGTTGGAAACTCTTGTATAAATCCCAGGAACTAACCCACAATTATTTCCAAACGATGTAACCCCAACAATCCTATACATTTGCGGTGAATCCTGAATTTGCATTTGAATGGGTCCACCTGAATCACCTTGACACGCGTCCACACTCGATTCTGGATCTCCTCCACATAATTGTAACTCTTCATCGAAACCATTCGCCAATCTAGTTTGTGGACGATAACTCCTCATGCAGTTTTTCGCCGGCAAATTATATAAATACGCTTTTTGGAGATAACTTTGTAATCCACTTCCGTAATATGTAGCTCCCCATCCAGTTATTGTTAAATTATTATGATCTAGCTCAAATTTGGATTGTAAACAAGCAGGTTTTACGTATCTCGTGTAAATAGCCGGACGATCTAATTTAATTAAAGCAATATCGTGGTAAAAAGATTCGAAATCGTACTCAGGGGGAGTAAATACTTCTTTGACTTTAAAGTTTTGAGGTTCTGCAAATTCGGTTGTTGAAGATACATCTAAATCGCCTAATCTTACTAGGGAAACAGGTCCACTAAGAATAATTAAAAAATTAGATGCGTAAAAAGAAAATTTTTGTTGTTTTCGTACAAATCTCGTGATTCTAAACAATGGGCTGCTGTCAAGATGAATTGATCGCTGATTAAGCTCCCACCGCATTTAAATTCGAAGTTTTCTGATGGACCATATCCCAAAATAGCCTAAAATCATCTTAAAATTAACTGTAAATAATGATTTTAATTTTTAATTACCATATGGGGGTATTCCTCAAAATAAGCATTCACACCTCCAAGCACAAAAGGAGCAACATTATTCCCAAATACACTTTTTGGCGTTGTAGTTGTGGTGGTTGTAGTGGTCGTTATCGTAGTTTTGATGTCCAACTTTAAATATTCTTGACATTCTTTAAGAATAAAATTAAATATTAATTAATAAATGTGTAATATTAAATTATTAATTTTTTACTTTCTTCGCTTATCCTGTTTGAAATTCGTCCTTGGATAATTTCTTTTTTAACTTGATCACAACAAACGATAGGATGTATGCCATAAAATCCACATAAAACAGGTCGAAATCCTTTTTGAAGCTCGCTGCTTGCCGAGGCACAATCTGAGATATGTACACATATTCCGATGGAACGATTTTGTAAATAACAAAGTTGATATTCTTAAATATTTTTGGTGAATTAATTTATTTAATATAAACTGGGTCAAGTATTAAAACCTACCTTTAGAATTAACGCACAAAATGAGAGTTAATCCGAGAAACGTCTTAATGGAACCATGCATTGTGTTGAACTGATTTTATTCAAAATAATCCAACTCACCTTGGTTCTTGAGAAAATATACAAATTAAGGAAAGAGGTGAACACGAATCATTTTTTTTTTATTTTGTTTGGCCTCAGTAACTCTTCCCGATATTTCCATATTGACTACGTTTTATCTACAGGGTGATTCACATAAGAACAGACACAGAGCAGGGACATGTAGAGGACAATAAATTAAGATGATTTAACACAACTTATCTCTATACCAAGTTGTACCTCTGAGGAGTTATAGGCTTTCAAAGTTGGATCTTAAATTTTTAAAACATTGAATATCTTCGTAATACATTAAGCTAGAAAAACCAAATTTGGTATACGTTATGAGTGTACCGAGGGTATTAATTGGTAGCAAGTTGAGACCAATTGAGGCATTTCAAAGGGTTGGTTAAGGGTGATGATTCCCTAAATTTTGGCAGATTTTTTTAACCTTTTTGTGGATTTAATACATTATTACCTCATTTCATGTGGAATTTAATTCTAAAACTTTTTTTACTCTTACTATTTTTTAAAAAACATTGTCGTTTTCATAAAAAATTTCAAAAAACTAAAGAC